CGCTTGTGGTTGGTGGACTACTACAACCACCAATCAATAACTTGTCTCGCATTCTCCGCCCTGTTGGAGGCAAAAAAAAGATGAATAGCTTACGCAAGTCCCCTGCACAAGCAGATGCTTCTCGTAGAGAGCTGGGGATAATTGTCCGAGACTTAGCACATCACCGTGAACAAGATAATCGTGATTTGCCGCGCCAGTGAGTAGCGTGCGGCGTCGCGCCATGAACTAAAGATGCTTCTGAGTCGTAGATGGTGACCATAGGCATTGTGTAACCATAAATTGTCTTAGATGTCTGGGATGTCGAAGACGACATAAATCTGGTGCTCCAATCGACAGGCTGATACAAACTGAGGAAACGCCGCGTCCGTCGTCGCGTGAGACAACGCGGCAAATTGCGGTTGTCGTGACCGTTTCACATCGTCGTGAAGGATCCCTGCTAACTCCGAAATCCCGTCGCTCGTGAGTGATACCCTTGATTAACTCGCATACGGCCCTTCCCTCCCTTGCCGCACAATCTTACAGCGCGTGGCGAGCGGCCAATTATGCGGTAGTTGGTTCTTGAGCTCATAGCCCAATGAGGATGAGAGAAAGCTGTAGATTACGGTAGCGATTTTTTTGACTAAAAAATCGTTCTCTACCGGAAAAGAAATCGTCAAAAGTCATAGAGGGAATATAGACAAATTCAATTTTTTCGTGCAGCGTTTTTCTCAGCGAAAAAAACAAGAAGTTACCTTTTCAAGAGACTGCAACGTCGGAGTTTGAACAAGACCACCGCTAATGCAGAAGCACGAACTAGGGCTCGATATCCTTCTGAAAATTCGTTCACTGGGCAATCACTGTTTGGCAGAATGTTCATGTAGATCTGAAACGAGAGGTCATACTCCAGCATACTCTGTGAAAATAAAGGGTGCAGTTCGAAGGTTATTTCGCACCGGCAGCTTCCTTCGCGTGTTTGACTCGGCCACTTTACGCCATCCATCAGAGTCAGAAGCGATAACATCCGTGAAAACATAAATGGCTGATTTCGGATAGACAGGCTGAAAATCGCAATAAGCTGCAAACGCAGATGAACATACTCAAAAATTTGAATTATGCAAACGTGAGCGGTCGGTGAGGATGGCTGGGCAAAATACTGGGCAAGCTGGTCTAAGACCTCCGCCTAGTTCATGCCTTTTTGTAGGCCCTTGACTGAAGTTACTCGTTTTCTCTGAGTATCATTTCATCATTGCGTGAATTATGGTCTACGGACAACTTGAACTCTAACCCTTGAAAGGAACGCCCCGCCCGCGTTCAGAAATGGTGAATTGCGGCGTGAATACTAGACAGGGTGGTAATTAACACAGCAATGAGAAAAAAAAATAGAGAAAGAGCAGTCCGAATTGCCTCTTATTGAACACCATGCCCGAATTGCTTTGACATATGCATAAGGGACGTGGTCGGGCGAACTCTCACTTGTTGGTGTCAGACCTTCTCATTATCACCTCATTCTCACCCCCTGAAATCGTGAGCTAGTAGCGCAACAACCGCACCACCAGAAAGCTTTTGGAAATGAAAGTTGGGCACTGTCGTGTCTGATGGGTGGAGGAGCCGTGGCTTCGTCGCGAGCGGATCGCTCTTTCCTCACGTATTTTTGAGATGCGAAAGTAGTGCACCCCGTATGCCTGTGGACAACTACCGTATCCAAGGAAGACAACTGTTCATCGAGTGAATGCGGGGCGTGCCTTCAATCGCTTCAATTTCCTGTCGGTGTCTGAGCTCTTGCTTTGAACGCACACTCCCTCCCCTCCCCCCAATTTTTCACGCCCAAGTTTTCACGCTAAGTTGCTCAACCAACTCAGACTCTCTTCATTTGGACCTCCACAGACTCTTTTGCACCGTACAGTGTCCTGACATCCACTGTTCTCGTTGTCGCTACAGAGGTACAGGGCTTCGCTGCAGGACTGTCATACCACAACCACGTTAGCCACTGCCACCACCCCCAAGATTCCTCCACTTACATTTCATAAGTCCTCACCTCTAAGAAAATACTGGCAATAGGATCGAATGTCGCCTCATCGCAACCACCTGTGGTATTCGTGTAGATGGCAGACATGATGTCGTTGAGGAAATTCTGGTATAGTCCTCCCGCATAGTAAGTCGTGTCGTACTCTGAACTTCACAGTAAACTTTTAACATCGAGAGAGAGATCTCAAATCTTAACAGAGACTTCCGTTAACTCAAAGAGAGTTTGAAAATAGCTATTTTTCTGCTCTCAATGCAATTTTTTGGAACTCACGGCCATTGCCGAATTTCACCAGCACGTAGCCATTGTACACGTTGTAATCGAAGACAGCGTTATTTTCCACCTGCAAGATTTATTCTTTTAAAAAAATTATAGTTTTTTTCACAGCATGGAAAGAAATTTGTGCCAATAATACCTAAAGACGAATTCCGCTATTGCAAGCTGTTGGCAGTGGGGTGGTGGTCATGAATATTCGGATGCTAATGAATTACCAGTTAAGAAGCGGTCACGAAAACGTATGAGGTGAAGTGTTTCTTTCTGCTGTTGTTTTAGGCGTCGGACGAGAAGCGAGGTGAGCAGGCAGTGAGGACGAGGGAACACATACATAAAAGGGACAAGAGAATGGAATGACTGGCGAGACAATAGACACTGCCTGGCCCAATAGTAGCAGTCCCACACAGTTATGAACACTCTGGGTGGTGCTGTAGAATAGTGGGGCAGGCTGCCACGGCAAATGTTCTCAGTGTCTTA